AGATAATATTTTATTATATTGAAAGGTGGTCTCAAAATAAGATAAATATGATATTAATCGGAGATGTAACGAATCGTACCTTATAAATCCATCACCTCCTGCCACAGCAATAAGCCCTGTGACATTATGACAAGAGACCGAATACAAGGGCAGTTGTGAATCAACATGCAGTTTGGCGACGGATCGCCACTTGTCATTAACAGCAGGTTCCGAAAGAGAATTGCGCTTCCACAACTAGAATAATCACTCTTTAAAAACTCTTCGACCTCGGATTGGAGAGCGCTAGTAGAAAAAAGACAGGGGGTGAAAATTTAACAAACCATTCGGGTACATTTTCTTGAAAAGCAACCAACATTGACAAATATGCTAGTACTCGGGGTTAGAGCTACATAAACACACTCAGAACTCTTCAGCAAAACTTACTTGTACAATGCTGTCTTCGCCAACAGTGATTAGTCGATGACCTTCGCTGTCAAAGGCTGCACACCATACTGTACCATCGTGAGCCTGAAGATCATAGAGATATAACTATTTGAGCTTTGGTAAAGCATACGATAGGTACATACATCAGGGATCTTTTGTTGAGTGATCCAGTCTTCACCATCAAATTTGTAGAAAACCAAGGAGTAATCGTAACTGCATGATACTAACAACTGCAATGTTTGATGTAGTAATTATGGAACACAGATTCTAAGCAAGCTATCTAACACGTGCTCACTAAATTCACAATCATAATAATTACCTCTTCAGATGGATGCCATTTGACAAATTTGACGTCTTGAGTGTGTTGCTGAAGTACAGAACAAACTTGAAAATCGTCGTCTTCATCCACTAAATAACAACAAAACTATTTTCATTGTAAAAAAAAGCAAATTTCACTTACTTTGCCAAAACCATACACTCTTATCTCGACTACAAGTTGCTAGGAATTCGTCAGATGGTGAAAATGCACAACATTTTACCTAAACGCAAAATCAAAATATATGAGAAGGAGGAACTTGATAAATGAAAAAAAAAGTTAAAGCAGCAAGAGCGCACCTCGCTTTCGTGACCTTCTAGTTTATTGCATTCTGCAAATTCACCACTAAATAG